TGGTGGCGGACAGTTCGGAGAACCGGTAGCAAAAATCCCTGCCCCCGCCCCCCCCATGCCCAGCTAGGCCGTGTGATCATCAGAGCCTTTTTTTTCTTTTACATGGCTCTGACCAGCCAAGGTCTGACGATTCCAGCTGAATTGCCTGCTAATCAGGCAACTCAGCTTGGATCGCCAGAGCCCTGTAAAAGAAATTTTTTTTTCCTTTTAAATGGCTTGTAGCAAAAATCCTTCCCCTTCCCCCACCTAGCTTGCTTACCTTAGCTGCTGGTCGCAACGCCTTGCTGTAATCCCATTGCAAATCCATTGCATCAGCACGCAACTGAATCTCCCTGCCTGCAATCAAGCAGGCAGGGAGTTGTGGACTTCAACTCCCAGAATTCCTCAGCCAGCAAATCAAAGCTGGCTGAGGAATTCTGGGAGTTGAAGTCTACAAGTCTTAAAATTGCCAAGGTTGGAGACCTCTGTTCTATTGGGTAAGTTTTTTTCCCCTTTTGGGAGCTTTAAAAAATAGTTAATTGGGGTTTTTTTTTAGTTGTTCTTTTTTTAGACCTAGCCATTTAAAGTTTAGGAAGTTTTAAATTTAGCTGCTTTTATATAAAAATAAAAATAAATTAAAATAATATTTGTGCAGCTTTCTGAGATTTAGTATGTTTCTGTAGTGTTTCACTCTAACTACACAAACACACAAAATCTCACAAAGCTGTATGTGGAATTTGTGTGTGTAAAGTGTGAAAATTGTTTTTTTGGGCTTTTTGTGGCTGTGTGAGGTTCCTGTTCGTTGCAGGGGCCATTTTGGGTCTAGCACAGCTGCTTTTACATTGTGGGTGAGCCAGTTGTGTTGTGTTGTGTTGTGTGTGTGTAAAGTGTGAAAGTTGTTTTTTTGGGCTTTTTGTGGCTGTGTGAGGTTCCTGCATGTTGCAGGGGCTATTTTGGCTCTAGCACGGCTGCTTTTATATTGTGGGTGAGCCAGTTGTGCTGTGTTGTGTTTTGTAGGTTAAAAAAGGGCAAAGAAGTGACATTGACTTGGCCACGCCCACCTGACCAACAAGCCACGCCCTCCCAGTCACCTTACCACTAAGCCCGACTGACTAATTAAGCCACGCCCATAGAACCGGTAGCAAAAAATTTTAGATTTCATCCCTGATTAGAATGCACTTAAGTCTATATATAGGCATAACAGCTAATTTTAAAATAAAAATTCCTTTCTTTCTCCGAAATGGTTTGTAATGTCTTCTACAGCTAATTTCAACAGTAGCTTTAGGATTGAATACTTATAATACTCATGTATGATACAAAATATAGAAAGGTTTGAAACTCAGCAGAAAGTTTGTTTAAATGACTGGTTTCGTCTTCTGTAGTTATTTTTCACTGGGTTTTTATAATAAAAGGGTGCCATGCACCCTTTTGTCACTTCAAATGTTTGTTTGTTTGTCTGCCTGTCTGTCTTGTTTTTTTTATGCTGTTGAGGCACTGCTGACTATTAGAAACTGCCTAGATTAGTCCCTGGAGTATTTTTGAAGTGGTTTGCTATTGCTTGTTTCCTGGGATTAGAGAGGGACTGGTCCAAGGTCACCTAGCTACCTTTGTACATAAGGCACGACTAGAACTCACCATCTCCCAATTTGTATGTTGGCACCTTATCTCTCATCTCAATTTTCAAGTTTATCTTCTAGTAAATAGTTTTCATCTCCAATTGCTTGGGGTAAAAAGCAGTAAATTTTGTTTTCCTCAATAATGAGAGGAATGATGAAATAAGCTCCATTGGGCTTTTTTCTTAAAGAAAGAAAATAAAGTGCTATAGGGCAAAAAAGAAAATAGTGCTTTAAAGTAACAGAAGCATGAAAATTGTATTTTGAATGTAAAGAAGGGAAATGTACTAGAAGTTGATTTTTGAGGATTAAGCATACAGGACAAAATCACCTGTTCTGACCATCCAAAATTGGTTGCTGGTCTGTACTGGTCATGAGGCAATCTCACAGTGCAGACAAATGCTAAGTCAATTTCACACATAAATGTCATATTCCACTAGGAAATCACACAAATGCTGTGAAACCCAAAGGCAATTTACCACACTTACAAATGACTCAATTGCAAAATGTGACTTGTTACATAAGTAATATATCCAGCAAGGAAATGATGTGGTGCTGTTGCCTTGTTTCTGATTTCTTGGTTTGATTCTCAGCTGCACCATTGTTATTTATACTTCCCATTCACTGAATAATAAAATTTCAGGGACAAATTCAGTTTCCTCTTCAAAGGAAAGTTAAGAAAATTTCTCTATAAAGAATGTTAGTTTTACTTTTAATTTTAACTACTCCCTTAGGATTGCATTTATCTCCCACATCTGAATCTTCACTTCCCTCCCGCCCCCAGGCCTTACTAAAGCCAGAATATCCATTAACTTTTATCAGGACTTTTCTATACAATCACTTCATTCCATTGGTCCCAGTTGCAATGATTGCTTCAAAATGTGTTCTGGTTCTCTTGGTCCAAAAGTCATTTGGAGACACTGAAAGCTGGAAACTGCACTTTTCCTGGGCAGCCTGTAGTATAGGATGTTCTAACACAGCCCTAGTTTTAATTTCCAAATTCTGGTTGTCTATTTCTACTTACAGTATATTGGCAAGTACAGATATCCCTGCTCCCCCTTGTTCCATCCCAAATTAAGTGACTCTGGCAATGAGATCTCACATTAAATTCATTGAAACCTGTTCCAGAGATTCCACTTCTGAAATGGGGAATGTGTTAATCTCCTTAGAATCCAAGATCGCTTTAGCTGAGTTTAAAATTTGATTTAATAGGTTGCCTTATTCATCAAGATACCATTTAAAGTTCTTTGGGATTAGCTTGAATTTGGTTTCTACTTTTATAAAATATTTTATTGTTGATTAGCCTAGTATTTCTGCTTAAAAATAACTGCAGGCTTTAGCAAACTAAAGATGTTGGCAATTCTAATAAGGATCAAAGATGATTCCAAGGTGATGGAAACTCAGCTCTTTATTACACCAGATTCTTTTAACAAAAAAGAGGCAGGGCTTTTATCTCACTGTTGCACCTGCCATCTTGAGATTGTTATATGTTTTTTTGATATCTTTTTTTCTCATGGATAATCCTGTTTTAGATGCAGATGTGCACCATTTTCTAAAACACATTTTTTAAGCCACTGTAATATTTGCAGAGCAAACATGGCTACATAATAGTTGCTGGGTAGCATGATAGGTCTTTAGATAAAGGAGACCAAAATGGAAAGTGGAATCTGAAAGTTGCTTCCAGAGTATGGCCCCAATGTTAAAACCATTTAACTTGGCCTATCAAGATAATTGACTCATAAAGCAAAAATGTGTTTCGCTACAATTTAATTAGTAATTGTTTCCAATTATCTTTCAAACATTTCCATTTTTATAGCAAAAGGCCAATGAGAGTGACAGCCAGGACATACTGTGTGATAAAATGGGAAAAAGTGAATAACTGCTGCCTACCATATCTTTCTGCCTACCATAACTTCTGCCTACTACATCTATATTAAAATGAATATATTTCCAAAACATTAGAATTAAATCTACATAATATATTTCTAATATATCTATCAATTAAATCTACAGAATCTAAAGGCTATAGGGCTGGACATTCTCTATTAGTTCTATTCTACTGTTTAATACGATTCTGTTATCCATGAGTTTGTCCTGTTTTCAAATGTATGTTCCATTAATATGATTCAAGGATTGTAAGATATGGTAGGCAGAAGTTATTGGTCTTTTGCTATAAAAATGGATATAAGTGTTTGAAGGATGACTTCCTATACACTTGCCTGATTAGTATGGATGGAAAGCCATACTTTCTTCCAGACAGATCTGACTGGCTGTATTGAGGAATAGTTTGTACCATGTGCTTTTAATCACATGTCTCTCCTAGATCTAAATATGTTCCATTTTCATCTGTCTATTGTTTAAAAACTCTGATTGTATGGAAGTTGTCTGAAGTAATGCCAAAACGTCTGCTTATGTAGAATTCCCATATTTTATTAATGACATAGTCACAACAATTAGCAGACCATTTTACTCAATTAATCTTGGTTTTTTTTTCCTTCTTTTTTTTTTAGGAAACTATTTTTTCTTGTAAAACCTTTTAACACAGAACAGTTGATTCATCCAGTTATTTAGTTAATCAGTTAGTTATTATTAGAATTAAAGCTTGGTTCAGGGAGCCAGAAGTGTAAAATCTACCTTTGAACCAGTTGGCAGCTTCCTCGGAATATCTGCAAGAAATAATTATAGATAATACAGAAATTGTATCCACACAGAAGGAAAGGAGTTTATCCATTTAGAACCCCCCTTTCTCCCTTCCTTCCTTCCTTCCTTCCTTCCTTCCTTCCTTCCTTCCTTCCTTCCTTCCTTCCTTCCTTCCCTACAACTGAAAAGAATTGCATTGCATGTTAGAATATAGAACACATTTTGTAGTGAGTTTGATCCAAGGGTTTCGTTGATTTTTGTGGGCACTCTGGCATACATTAAAAATGAAATTCTGTTGCCTCCTCTCAAAAATGTACACAAACATAACACCCATATAGATATGCTATATAGCTGAATTGATGTCAAGATTTGCTTTTATTCTGTTTAACAGATCAAATACTTCACATTTCTTAGTTTTTGTCTACTTTAATGGCTTTCTTAAAGATGTATGGATTCTCTGGTTTTCAGATACTTTTCTATTCAAAACTCTACCATCTGTCTTAGCATCTTATTTCTTTTGGATATTTTTTTTAATCGCATAGGGATTCAAAACCTATCCCAGAGGTTACAAGAGATGTTCAGTAGCTGGTGTGTGCAGGTGTGAGCATTTTTGTTGCATAGTTTTATGGAGTAGGTTTTAAAATTGGACTTCAGGTTTGTGTACTTGAACACTGAACTAATAAATTTAATTTCTTGATCCATTTCATCTAGTATTCATTGTGATCTCTTGTCATATTTTTTACCATTTTTCTCTCTTCAAAACAACAGGCCCTGGAGCATTTACAGCAACTGCAAGTGTACCAGGCTCAGACGCCTACAATTGGCACGATGCATGTAGATGAGCACCAGCCTAACGCCAGGACACAGACTTCCCTGACAACTTGTGTATTACCTCACCCAACCATGGATCAGTCTATTCAACAAACCTCCATGACGGGTAAGTCCCTAAAGATTCCCATAATAGACAGAATAAATGTATAGTTCATGTAGGATCAACTGATTTAAATACCAAGAATGCCTTTTTTACTCATTATTTTTTACTCTCAGTCCTACGTATTAGTGCAGTTGATAATGGGTAATATTCACACATTCATAAATTAATGCTGTTGAGAAACTCGGACAGCCAAGAAACAGGTGCATTTTGGATATCCCCCAGCCTTTTGTACTTTTATTTCTGTCTAGCCCATGTTGTATTTTGTCTTTTTTCCCATCCCTCCCCCTGTTGAGACCATCACCATGTTGATATGAACATGATTACAATATATATTTTTGAGGTCTGCCTTTAGGAATGTCACAATGTATGCCAAAAATATTATTTTCCAATATAGTAAACACATTCAAAATTATGTGATCAGTTCCTGAAATTTTATGTTTCCTTTCAGCAAAGAATGATTGACATGTGTGTTGCATTGCATATAAAGGTACTCTATTTGCTGAGCACAGAATGGAGTCTTTTGGTTGCAAGTATTGAATTTTTCTTTGAGGATTATAGTTTTCTTCAGCTTTATATCAGGAAATATAAACAGTCCAATGGCCTTAAAACAGTCAATAAATATTAGCTGTAGTGTAGAAATTCAAATTCAGGTCAGAGTCATAGAACCTCATTTCCAAAATAAACGAATAAGCTGATTGAACCACTAGATTGTATCCAGAACTACTAAATTGTTTTGGAAGATTCTTTAATGTGCACATGCAAAAATGGTTTATTCAGATATATTGGAAAGACAGAATTTGACAAAATTTCTGAAATGAAGTAGAAATGCAAATTAAATTGAATCATAAGTTTAAATTGGACTTATTTAAATTGAAATATTTGCGTTGTATATTGCATGATTTACACAACCATTTTATTTGTTTAATTATAATAGGATGCATAATATTAGAGTTAGGGCAATGTTACAGAGTATAACATGACAATTTTCTGCCCATGATGCTTTTCTTCATTTCTTTAAATGACAATTGAAAATCCAGGAGAAGGAAGAAATGTGATATTATTCAGCTGTACAATGGATCTATATTATAAATAAATATAAATAAAAATTGCCACCAACTATAATTCTTAAGGATAATGAAAATATATATTAAAATAAATGTGTCATTCAACCTAGAGACTAATTTTTACTCTGCCCTATATAGAGTCACACTTACAATTTGCATCACAACAATGCATCACAACAATCTGATTGATTTTTTTTCCAGAACAAGCCAGTTACAATCTTGGCCTTTCTGATTTCAGAGGGGAATTTTGTCATTGGCTTGAAAAGAGACAACATTCCAACCAGAATCATTATCTTCCACTAACATTCCATAGCAGCAAGCAATTGAAAACAGTTGTCTCTTCCCTCACTTCTTCTTTTTTTTTTTTCCTGGGGGTGTGTGTGTAGTATTGGCTGGATTGTGTTAGAGAATCCTACATTCTATTTTTAGTAGGAAGCTCTGTTGCTGTGTTGTGGTATGGTAGCACACGTGCTGTGTGACCCACAGCTGCAAAAGTGAATTATTTGCACATCCTAAATCAATTTAGATGTTTGAAGTGTATGAAAAAAGGACATTCAGATTTCATTTTAGACTAAGGAATGCTCTTCAACAGACATACAGTTTGGAATGTGAGAACATTTTACTATTTAAAAGTTTGCATGGAATGTTTCTGACAGATCTTGAATTTTGAATTATTAATGCACTCATTCAAAAGTTGCAAGCCTATGTAAACTTCATTTTGGAATAAGACCCATGAAACTTCTCTTGGGCTCAGTTGAAGTTGCACTCAGAGTAACATGAGCAAATATAATGTTTTGATAATTTGTTTTAAGTCTGAGGAAATTAATAAATCCATTAGCATAGTTAAAGAAAAGAGGGGAAGTGACTTTTAAAAGTGGCCCAAGACTTAGATTAAAACATGGTACCTAGTGCTAACTTTGGACAGTTACCATAATCCAAAGATTTGGCAAAGTACCTCACCAGATTCCTGCACTTCTAATGAGGACCAGGTGCCTTGCAGCTACCATGTACATTTACTACAGGTCCATGAATGGTGCCAAGTTAATGTTCCTCTGAGACATCAGGATAAATAAATGGTGGTTCAAGCCTTGGTACTTCAAGAAAGCCCAGGTGGATACTCTGTCATAAAAGAGAAACAATCAAAGGGCATTGTTTACAGACAACCCCCCCACCCCAAAAGAATTGAAGCCAGCATTGGATTATTGTTGAAAATGAAATATTTGGAAATATGTAAAGACTACCTCAAGAAAAGTTTGATTCTGATGGACATGCAATTTTCTTTGCAACAACAAAGAAACAGTTTGCCGTGTTATTGCTATTTGCCAGTTAAGTCTCCAGCTCTGGAATTTCTAGGTCTCCATTCAAGGACTAATGGGATCTGACCATGTTTAGATTTTTTTCAAGATCAGTCAAAGTACTGCCACCTGCTGTGGCTCCAAATATTTAAATTGCTCAGTGAAAAAGGAGAAGCTGGCACTGAAAAAAAGCTCATTAGTCCAGCCAAAATAGTATAATTAACAAAGCATTTCTACTTTTGCCAGGTGAAACTTATATTTCCCAGTTATTACAAGCCCTTGGGGTATGATTTATTTTGTTGTGCCAAGGATTAAGTTATTCTGTTTAGTTACTACTTCATTTAGTGACCATTCAGAGTTATGGCAGTGATGAAAAAATAACTTTGTGACTGGTCCTCACATTTACGAATTTCACAGATCTGTAAAACAAAGGAAAGTCAGATTATAAATTCAGTTGTGGTTTCACTTAATGCCATTTCACATAACTCATTGCTGACCCCAATTCCTAAATAAAGCTACCTGTCATTTCATTCATTTTCTTTGCCTATATACTGTATGAACCTAAATATCAGCACTACAATATAAATGTAGAATATACATTGTAAGAGGGGAAAAGTACACTTATCCATAAAAAGACAATCCCATCTCTACAAACAGCCTTTGTGAGGTTTGGCATCTTCTGATCATCCCAACCACACATCCAATTCTCCTTCAATGAGCATCCTAGTTGTACTTTCCAGAGTAAAATTATTGGTAAGTTGGTCCTATTATGTTTATTTTGTAGGTGTTGCATATGACACACTAATGTTGAAGCACCAGTGTTTGTGCGGCAATTATGCCAACCACCCTGAGCATGCTGGAAGAATACAAAGCATTTGGTCAAGGTTGCAAGAATGTGGGCTGTTAAACAAGTGTGAGGTAATGGCTACACAACTATATTAAATATGGTGGTTTTAATATGATTTCTGTTCCTTATGTAAGTACCAGCTGGATGACCTCAGGAATATTTCTTTCACATCAGGATAAGTTATGCTATAGAACCTAAAATATGCAATATATACTCATAAAGAGTTCTGAAAGTTTATTATTTTTAATGATCACATAGATATAAATGCCCCACCAAAAATCCCTCAAGATGTCAAGCTGTTTGATTTGATTTTGGACAATCAAAATCCTGTCTCCTTTTTACATGTAGGTTCAAATAAAACTGTACTCTCACAAAGAGGAATATTGATAGTTCAAGTTATCTTTCATAAACAGATTGATGGGAAATCTAAATGGTTTTCTGGAGACCTCATCAAGGAAATAGGTGGTGTAGGACAAAAAACTGGACACAGCATGTGGAAAATCTAAATTTCACTTTTTTAAGTTTTGAATTTTATTAAAGTAACTATATATAGTTAATAAGATTACTTGGAGCGCATTCAATGATTTTCTTCTTCAGTCACAACTAAATTAAAATTCAAGGCTTTTTGACTCTACAAGAAATTCTGAGATTTCAAATGTGGTACCTAAATTTAAATAATCCCAAAGTGAAATCCAAGCACTTCAAACCCTATGAATGTGTTAGCATCCAAAGGACTGTATTAAGCCTTAAAATGAGCAACTCTGTGGGTCAATACAAAGGAGTATTTGTGGCATATAAACAATTAGCTCATATAACATGATCCCCTAATATATGCATACATACAAGCATACATACACACATAAAATTTGTGCCCCAATTAAATATGTTATGCAAACAGGCCATTGTGATATACATGATTTTTAGTTTTATCTTTTTTTTAAAAAAAAACCAGATTACTAAAAATTGTACATTTTAAATAGATTAATTTTATGTTCTGTTTGTAATTTATTCCAAGCAAGGCAGTACTGTTTAGTTTCAACATACAGTAGCTATGTTGGACACAATATTTCTATAATGGATGAAATAATTGTTTAGGCAGATGCTAACATGATTATTGTCTTCTCACTTAGAATTAATTAAAGAATATATGAATTTTAAAGCATCTTGTGTGTATATGCTCCTTGAAGTCAGTGTTGATCCTGCAGCTGCCTGCATAAGTTGTCTTGGCAAGATTGTCAGGTGGTTTGCCATTGTCTTCTTCCTAAATTGAGAAAGAGTGACTGCCCTAGGTCCCCCAGCTGGCTTCATGTATGATTAGAACTCGTGGTCTCCAGGCTGATTTCTTAACAACTATACTAAATTGGCTTGTTAAATGATCTTAAGAATGTTGCTTTCATCATAGTACAATTTTTGCAGATCAAAAATACTTTGATGCTGTTTTAACTTAATCATTCTACTATTATAATGATCATTCACAATTATTCCCATAGGAAATTTTACTGGCTGCAATGTAATAGTGGGATAGATCCTGAATAAGTAAGCCAATATGTAGAATATTGAACTCCTTACAGTTAAATTTCTAGAAGTTATTTTTATTTGTAAAAGTTAAAATTATTCTATTGATAGAGACTTGTTTGGTAAGGCCTCTTTATATTTTTATTCATTTGCCAGAGTCCAGAGTAAGTGACTGAGGGCCACTGTTAAAGCCACAACTTGTTCTGGACTTAGATGTTAGTAGAAGTGTTTCTATTAATATTAATGTGTCAACAGCCAACAGTTTCATTTATGAAAGAGAATTGCTTGACAGATACAAAAAGAAGTAAAGGAAGAATGAAATCTCTATAGTACCTAGGGGTATAACAGCTAAAAAATGTTTGTAGCTCAAAATAAATATGAAACATAAATCTGTTGAGAATATTAATATACTGATTTTATACATACATACATACATACATACATACATACATACATACATACTGTACATACATACATACATACATGCATGCATGCATACATATTGTACATACATACATACATACATACATACATACATATATACATATATAATGAAAGTGGGGCAAAAAAACATTTTAATGTAAGAGTTAAATAGGAGAGAAAAAGAATAAATTAAATGCTTTCTGCTTTGCTTGTTTGTAACCCCATATCCATTTGGCCCTTTCCTTATCTTCTGTCTTTTTTATAGGAGAGATACAGTGAAATTTATGGTATTCTGAACTTCTGCATTAATAGATACTCTGCTATATGATTAATAACTGCCCTCTTAAACTTTTTAATTAGCTTTTCTGTGAAATGTGCAACTCACAATGGAAAGGAAAAGGGTCTTCCACAATCCTAACCACCTGGGGTTTCTTCATTTATATGCTATGCAGTCATCTACAACACATTCCAGAAAAAACATTTATATAACACCACATCCCTTTTCCCTTCCCTCAAGAAAATGTAAATATGTTTTAGGCAAATGAAATAATGTTATCAATCACCTGATATATAAATAACAAGGTGTTTTTATAAAAAATAATCCCTGGATAAAGTTATTAAATATATTGTCCAAAGTAACAGAATGTTGTTGATTTTATGCAACTATGTCTCAGTGTTTCTTGGCTGTAAATTCAGTTGCAGGATTAGGAATTTTGAAGAAATTGAAGATCAGAATCCTGTGTAATTAACTCTTTTGTTAGTCTATATTAGTTTGATATGAATTCCATCATATGAATTCCATTGATGTTTATCAGCCTTTTGAAAGTGAGCATTGTAATACTAGAAGACAATAAAACATAGGATTAAAATTGTACCTCCAAACCCCAAATTTGTTCTGGATGCAATTCAGTGTGCCAGTTATGTACTCTAAAGGCTTAGTGCCAGTTATTTGAGGGATGTACTATCACCCATGGTTTATGCTGCATCTGGTAAAAATAAATGAGTCAATGTGCTTTAGGTCTCTTAAATCAAACAGTTGCTTCTAGTGGCCCTCAGGAAATATGCCTTCTCTGTAGCAGTTCCTTTCTTCTGGAAGGTTATTCCTTCTTCCAAGGTATATGCAAATCCTGGTGATATTATGTAAATCTTTAAAAAGTTAGCTATTTTTCATGATAAGTAAATCTGGAGTTCTGTCAACTGTATGTGTGGCAGGGGCTGGGTGGTGATGTTAAATGAATGTTGGTGTCACTTCAGTTTTTCTCTTTTTTGTTTTTCTGTTTTTAATACTAAGTCACTCAGTTATTCTTGAGCTGGAAAGCCTTAAAATTTAACAAACAGCTGAATAACAGTATCCCCAATCCTCTTTGCATATTTTTTTTTTTAATGGAATAGAAGAATTCAAAAATTCAAAAGGATAAATCATTTTAGCTCTGTTTAATTAATTAAATTAAACACAGTTCAGTTTTTGTCCTGGTCTTATTAATTTCTTTGACCAGGCACCGCTCACTTTTGGGAATGTGGCCTTTGACATGCCACTCAATGGCACAATGTAGCCCTAAACACAAACACAATTACACTCCTGCTGTACAAATCTTTGTGAAGGTTCTTTATTTTAAGCAAAGTAGCACTATGAAAGAGTCATGTATCCTTGGAGAATGCTCCTCTTTAGAAAATTTGCATGAGATAGTGTTAATATCAGGACAAGGCAATAGATATTTACTGCTGTGATCAGAATAAAAAATACTTACATTCTTTTAAAAAATCAGACATGAAATTAAAGCAGAGAAAAACTATATTTAATCAGAAAAACTGGGATTAAAACAAATATTTTTTTTTCAACAAATATATTTTTTTTTCAGTAGTAGATGCAGAAAAGAGCAGTATTTTCTTGCTCAGTACCATTTATTCTGGTCTGCCACTTATTTATCAACAAACTCTCTGAAGATGGTAAAGTGTAGGAATGCTGTTGAGAGTAAGGATGCATCTCAAAGTCTTCTGCAAAGTCTCAATGACTCCAAAGGCATTTTGGGTTCATACTTTGAGCCAATCATCCATGTAATGGTTCTAACATCATGTTTTGAACAATGCTGTTCATTTCTTCTTTAAAACCACTGTGGTTAAATGTCTCCCCATCCACCTTTTGGGCAACTTACTTTCTCACTTAGTTGCTATTTTTCCTCATATCCATTCTTGAATGACTATCTTGGCACTTAACTCTATTCTCATTTCTTTGTGATTCATGACCAGTGAGGATTGTTTTGTTTTGTTTCATGCTTGCCAAAAAATTTCTTCTCTGTTCTTTTTTTCCTTTTCTTTTTACTGTGCTTCAATCTGATGGAAAATAAATCACTTTTGATTCTTTTTTCCCCTAAAGCAAAGAAGAAGTTGTGGTGGGATTCTCATGAATGGGATCCAGGGTTCTTTTGCTTACCTTAATTATAGAGAAGCCAAGGGTTGTGTCATGCCTTCCCTTGTATCATCATCTTTTCAGTGATCAGCAGTTTCCATGGTTTCATATTATTTAATTACAGGTAACTCCTAAGGAAAACTTCTTTTGGGCTCTTCCAGAATAAGAAATTTTAGGATCCAAGGTAGCTATAATGTAATGAAAACAAAAATGTAATACAAAATAATTCTCTACCATTTCATAACACAATCAGCTCAAAAGATTTTCCAGAGAATTTGAAAGAAATTCAGAAGTATCCTACTAGCAAATAATTGTATGGAAATTTGTGTCTGCTAAATTAAATTCTACCTGACTAATTCACAAAAAGAGAAATCAAAAGTCAAGTTTTGGAATTTTGTACTCTGTGCTATATTATAAAATATAGTCTTTTTGCAAAACAAAGATTCTATTAAACCCAAATAGAATTTTAAAAAGTACTGATGTTGGGCTGACAATCACACACACACACACACACACACACACACACACACACACACACGTCAGATCCATAGGTTGTTCAGTGGCAAAGGTTGGAAGGCTTTTGTCTTTTTTTCCTTTCTTGCTGTCTTGTTCTGGATCACCCTCCTCTCACCCCTGTGAAATCATTTACTGCATGGATTATGTCACATTTACTGTAGCCTTCATAAAGGGTTAAATGGAGGAGGGAAAAAAGAAAAAAAAACCATAGGGGCTTTATTTCTGTCATACAAAGTGTTATGTTATTTTAACATGACATCAGTCCATTTGTTTAAGAGAGAAAGAAAAAAATTCATGTTTTTGCTTTCTTGTATCATATTAAATATCAGTGTCACATTCCTATATGATGCAATTATTACTGCCCATGATTAATCCTATTCAATGTTATTTTGGATTTCCTTTCTTTCCCCTCCCCTGTATATTATCAGTGGAATATTATAGAGCTCTGCTGCTCTCTTTCAGCGGATTCGAGGTCGAAAAGCCAGTTTGGAAGAAATACAGCTGGTTCACTCCGAACATCATTCACTGCTCTATGGCACCAGTCCCCTGAACAGACAGAAGCTGGACCCCAGGAAAATCCTAGGTCTGTAAAGGGCTCTATTCTACTGAGAACAGCACATTCCAGCCTCGTCATTAGTCATAGCTGGTGTCAGTTTAAAATACTTGGCAAGCGATGTAACACCCGCCCCCCCCAACCCAAAACAAAACACTTTTTCCAGATGCAATTCATTGTGGAAAGAGAATGTTGCAGAGAGAGCCACTATAGATTAGGGAAAGGCACTGGCTCAAAATCAGCCATAGAGATCTCATTCTGCTTTTATGATCATCTGGTTTTTAACCTTTGGGGTATAAACAATTATACTTTGGTGAGTAAGTCAGAAAAGGAATGGACACAGGATCCATATCCTTAAGGGATAGTTTTCAGCCTCTTTTACTTGAACAGTCCTAGAAGGCAGAAGAACTTCAAGGGGTAAGACAGATATTTTAAAGTCATAAGTACCATCTGGGTTCCACTATACACAGCAATGGATCTTGAGTCCCTGCTGTGTTGTACTGACACTTTTCAAATATAAATTTATATGAATCAACATCTTTCTCTGGCTGAAGCAGGGTTCAGATGATGCCTTCACCTATGTAGGGATCAGCATTTGGAAAAGTCTTGCTGAATCATTCAGATGGTAACAGTTGTGATAATGAATACACATCCCTTTTGAGAAGGGTGCTTCAATAAATTCAGTGGCATTCAGTGCCTGATAAATATGCTTTGAAGAAAGGGTCAATTCCTGTCTTTCTTCTCTTTCCTATGTGGCTTTGCTGGAATCAGGCCATTCCACAGTATATTTTGTAGGGCAGGTCCTAGATTTTTGTCCAATATTGCATGGACTATCTTTATGGGGAAAATGGAAAACATTTTTTCAAAGACCTTAACATGGTAGGATAAAGATATAGGGTGTATTGAACTGGAACATTTTTCATTATAATGTGATCCTGCAGAAACTGCCATGACTTGAAGATAGATTAATCTACTGAGGTATACAAACAATTGGCAAATAATGGAGTGTTTATTTGTGTTTATTTTAATGTATTTAAAGCATTTTATTGACCTTTCAGGCGAAATTGCTGAATTTGAGTATATTTTGCAGCTTTGCCTGAAGCATATATTTATAATCTTATTCAATTCTTGAGATTGTGGGGCCAACAAAGGTACAAGAAGGCAGATAGAGCAGAAAGTACCACATCTTCTGGTGTCTTACTGGGTCCTGCAGTGATGGGTGATGTAATATGTGCACATAATGTGTAATAAAATCATAATCAATTTGTTGCTCCCCCAGAAACACTGCCAAAAGCTGTGGTTGTTTATAGCACACATTCTCTTTAAAATATTGAGATTTTGATTTAGTCTTTGTTATTGGAGGAGGGAAAAGATTGAATCTCTGTAAAAATTCTTGCTAAGGTTAAGTTACATTTATAAAATTATATGGGAATCCATTTTATATTTCTTCCTTGCCTCTTTTTGCAAGTACAGGGTCTGTTTTTTTCAGATCGCCCAAGTGTTGATCCATTGGTTGCAACAGGATTGACTGATTAGCTTGTCACCTAAACCTGAGGCCTAAGGCATGAAACTCAGTCTCCTGTTTTCTAGCCTGGTGCTTTAACTACTAAGACAAACTGGCTCTCACAATCCATTTACTATGGCCTTTTAAAATTATAAATGGGAAGGAAAGCTATTCTTCTTCCTTCTCCTCCTCCTCCTCCTCCCCCCACAATCACATGCTGTATTTAGAGAACATTAAGTATAAAGCATTAAGAGGAAAAATTATTGTAATTTTGGTGAATATACAATAATATATTTCAAAAAGAAAACTCTGGCCATAAATAGATGCCAGTCTAAAGAATAAAGAGAAAAATGTCTGGACAGGCAAATCCAAAATAGATTGATTTTTATGTAGGAGAAAAAATCATCTAGAGTTCATATTTATAGACTGAATCTTAGCACAATATGAAAAAAACAACAATAACAAGTGAGAATTTGTCTTGTGAGCAATGAAAACCAGGAATGGATCTAATGAGGGCACAAGCTTGCTCATGTAAGTGTAGCTCTTTCATTAAAAAAAAAAAAAAAAGGCCAACTATTTTATGCTCTCTTCCTAATAGGAAATCATCCAATTTTTCCATAGGGACAGAATCACCTCTGTTTGGGTTTGACACAACATTGCAATGGATTTGAGGGATTTGCTTTCTTGGATGCTGCAGGAATTTGAATCAGGAGGCATATGCTTGCTGTAGATGATGTTTCCTAGACAATCACAATTGTACTTGACAAAGAGGCCAGATTTGATGTGTTTGTATGTGCAATTGTGAGTGGCATGTTTATGTGTCTATGTTTTAAGACAGGTTTTGTAAAACATATACTGGACTTTATCTTTCACTAGCAGTTAAAACTTCCACTTAATGCTACAGTAGAACAGTGTCGTAATTCCAAATTATTATTTTGCGCAATGGACTGGTAGTCCTAACCTTATATTGTAACCAGAAAAAAGAGGGGGAAGCTTTATAACAAAAGAAAAGATGAAACAAAAAATCAACAATTTCATATTCCAACCAGCCGTTAAAAACAAAATTCAATAATGCGACAACAGAATACAAGACCAATATCCTTCTAAAGTTGGTTCAGTTTAATTAAACAATAGATTTGACAGGTTTTTTCCCCTTTTCCTGAGCAAAGGTAACAAAGTTACTAAGGGATGGAAGAAACTTCAGTTTTCACTACCCTGAAAAATTTACCATTTTCATTATTTATGCATTCATTACTATGTATTAGTATACTATGTGTCACATTGTAAATCATCAAAGTTTGACAATACAGATCATTCTTTTAACAATTGACAATATAGATCATTCTTTTAATAAGGGCAATTCAGAACATGTGCTCAGTTCTTAGTTCCCATTCTTTTTCTGTTGCTCCTTTTGCTACTATACTATTCTAAAAATCAGCATTATCCCTAATGCATACATGCTAGAATTATGTATCAACCCCTCTCATCCTATTAGCTCAGGCTTCATGCTAAATAAAATTGACATACTGTACTCAGAATCTGCACAATATGTGTGATTATATCGTAACTCTAAGGCTTTCTTAACTTTTTACTCTTACCTGAATAACTATCTGAAGTTTTGGTAATGAAAACCACTAGAAAACCTCCAAACTCTTCTGGTTTCTATTAGCTTGCAGGCAAGGACACTGTCAGATACAAACACTAGTATGCAGAAGTATCATCAGAATGGCTGAGCTTTTAAATACTGCATTTTCTAAAGCCAACCACAGAAATAACTAGATAATCAGAGTTTACGCAAGATTGGGTTTTCTTGAACTAAGGTAAAATAACTGGGATTTCCATGTACTATTTGTTTTGCAACTTTTCTAAATATTTTTCTTTTTGATTGGTATAATCAAAACATATTTGTAAACCCATCACCTTTCAGCCCCCCTCCTTGTAGTGATTCCAGGATGTGGAAACCAAGGCTCAGATATTGAATATAGCAGTGTTTTTCAAATTTGGCAACTTTAACATATTACTGGGAAATGCTGGGAGCTGAAGTCCACACATCTTAAACTTACAAAGTTTGCCATTTAGTCTCTAGTACCTAAAATGGTCTGGACTTTTACCATAATTGCTAAAAATCAGTAGCATAATTTTCTGCACTTTAAATTGGGAAATACAAATGATGTAGTGTAAATTTGCTTCTAAATGTTGTCCAGTTTCTGGCCACTACAACAATGACCTTCGCTAACTCATTAAGTTATTTCATTCTCCCAAATGAATTATCATAAGAAAAATATCATGCATCCAACAGTATTAATATAAAGCACACTCAAATTAATAATTATAATAATATTTAAAAATTGAATAGGCATAACTGAAAGGCTAAGCAGAAAACTCTAGAAATACTGACTTTGTTTTACAAAAATATTCTTCTATCCTATCAAACCCAAACTCTAAAAAGTACACAAACCATATAAAGCAAATGGGTTTAGTATACTATGGATTTGGTCAGTAATGTATAGATGTGTAACTCATATTGATTAATCAGAGCAATAACTGATTGTGGCAGCAACAGAACACTTTCACTGCATATGTAATATATTCATGTTCCATGTTCTGCATGGAAGTTGCATCTCTAGTAACAACATCACTGCAATTAACTCTTACTCAACATTCTGTGAGCTGTTCAATATGCATGAAGCATTTTGTTTTTGTACCTGTACTAATCTCAATTGAAGATCATAAGAAGTATTTTGCATTATTTAAAAGAACTCTGCATTGGTTTATCCAGATAGAGTGAGAAGATCATGATTTCAGGGATCATATAAATAATTAATATAAATTCATCTAGTTCTTGTAGTAAAAGGTTAGCCACAGATCCTTTTTATCTTCTGCCATGGAAATTCAGAAGTAGCAATAATAAGCCAAATAAAGTTATTAATATATGCTTCATTTCAATAAACTATCATGACTATTGATTTGAAAATTCTGAAGAAGGGTTGAAAACAGTTTCCTCAAAACTGAGTTGACACAAAAATAATGACATGAAAAACTTGGTTTATTCCCAAAATTGATTTACCCACTATTTTAAAGAAAGGATCATCCTTAATGAGATTATATGGGTAAAACAATCAAAAGTATATCTCAGAGAGTAGATTAGCGATATAGATGGAGATTCCACGACTATATGGAAAGGGTATTAATGAAATGACATTAGGAATATAAATATTATTAAACATAATTTATTATTCACATATAAATCATATTATCTCCCGATCCCAACTCTTGCTACATTTAGAGAGTTTGATTTAAATTAGCACTGATGGATTCCTGGAATTATTAGAATATACTATTTTTTTTCTTTACTGAAGGGATGATTTGTGCAAAACTATGAGGCTTAAGATACATACAGTCCTGAAATGTCTGCTTTATCCATTCCAGGAATAACCTGGGGATAGAAAAACACACTTGGTTCATGTGTCATGGTTAAGAACTATCTATAATCTACAGAAGGTGTGTTAAGCTTGCATTATCACGGCAGCATCACATGACATATCACAACTTTTTCCCCCTTCACCCAGCACATGATGCATCCGGCCCGCTGGCCACAAATTTGACAGCCCTGATCTACAGGAAGCTGTTATATGGTTGCAGTTGAGTACAAAGCCTTTGGTTTGCTTTTGGTTTGATGATCACCAAGGTACTTCCCAACTTTACATAAGAGCTGTACCTAGTCAAACCAGGAAAAAGGGCTTTGAGTAATAATGGCCAATAAAAATGCTGATTTGGTGTGTAGTAGCTGTGAAAAGGGCAAATTCAATGCCAGGAATCATTAGAAAAAGGACTGGAAATAAAACTTCTCACATTGTAATGAATCAATGGATACATCTGACATATATGCACAGTTTTAATTGCCATGTTTGGAAAAAGATAGAAAATATCAGAAAAAATGTAGAAGAGTGGTTTGTAGTACTTGGTTTGTAACCGAAATGATCCAAATGCTTGAATACCTACTGTATTCGGGGGTGGAGCTACATCTTTGAGGATTCTGGAAAAAAAGGCAAAGGGAGGTCAAAATAACTACAGTGTATAAAATCATGTCATCTGCTTGTATTGGACTACAACGCCATTATTTCTAGGAAATATGGATCTTGGTGGAATTATAGTCCAATATATCTGGAGAGGAAAAGGTCAGTGACATCTGTTCTGGAAGCTTTGTACATAGCTTAACCAGTCCCCAAAAAATTATCTGAGCTTAATTTAATTTCTTTGATTAATTTTTAAGAAATGTTGTTACTATTTGATTAATTACTAAAAATATTGTAGTACTGTACTGTACTGTAGTAGTACATTTTGGAAAAAAAGATATATTTTCATGTTTATTTTTATTTCTTATTTTTAATATAGGCAGTGCACCTCACAAACCTTTTTCGTTGCTACCCTGTGGGGGTCTTGCTGTAAGTAGCTTTTGCTTCTGTTTTCTAGTTTTGTGTGTGTGTGTGTGTGTGTGTGTGTGTGTGTGTGTGTGTATAATGATTGAATATAACACACACACACACACACATATGGATATAAGTATACATTTAATGATTGAACATAACTAAAGATGAGCATTAGTAATATAACCATATGTGTGACCATTCAGAGACTAGTTCCTACGTAATGTACTTTGCAAACAAGGAAATAAACTAAAAGCCACATGAATTATATGAGCTCTGAGAAGAGATATAAAGGAAGGAAACAAAACTGCATCAAAAATCAATTCTGAATAACATTATCAAAACTATCTAAATAATGGTATAAAAATCCAATGGTTACAGCAAAATACATATGAGATAAGTCTTACATGTATAGCAAAATTCTTTTGAGTAGATTGTTGTTTTGTTTAAACAAATATTGGACATTGTTTTATGTAATATCAGGTTCTATGTTGAGAGGTCTGTGACTTTGGAATCATTTATAACTTGGAAGTGAATCTGCTCTCAAATTCCTTGGATACACCTCAAAAAATTGATAACCGTCTACCTCTTTTATGGCTCAGAGGAGGCAACACGAATCACATCAATATTGGCAGCCAATATGAATTTTGACATGCTGTAAAAAGCATAAAAGGGCTTAAGGCATTTGTTTAGTTGAGGAATGGGCTCTCCAGCTGTGTCAGAGCTAAGTTTGGGTTTTGGTCCTGGTACCCGAGGGATCGTGCTGCAGACAAAAGAGAATTCCACATTTATCTTATAAAATAAGAGAGCTGTCCAATTCAAAGTTTGTTAAAAAAAATAAAAGAAGAAAAACAAGCGGGAACAGAAAGGTCACTGCACAGTGTCAGGTCTTTAAAATTGAATGAGGCTGTGCTGGGGAAAAGTGAATGTAACACCTTGTAGGAATCCAGGTATGTTATATAGAAGTGTTAAATTAGTATTAATTTTGTTTCCTTTGGTTGGTTTGGTTATTCCTTGGCACAAACAAAGATGATATTGGGATACCTATATATAACTCTGAAGAGTGTATTACTGAAAGGCAGAATTAAATTCATTTGAAAAAAAAATGAATACCTTACAGGTGATGCCCCAGGAGCCAGAAAACCAAAACTACTTTGTATAGTTTAATTACATGTAATTAACATTAACTAAGTAGGATATCTATGAACATAATGGATGTCAGCAATAGCTGTCACGTTTTCAACACCTCTTAAGAAGACTTTGCTTTTTCTGAAGAAAAGGAGATAACAATAATAACTTTTTATTTTTATATGCTTCCTTTTATAATTTTTGCCATTTTTATTTTATTGCAAATTTTTCACTAGCTTTTATAGCTTTGCTTACACAAATGGGTCCAATAACCACTCCTCAGTCTGAAAGAACTTCACAACCAGGATGGTTCTCCAGTTCATTGTTTGGATAGTTCTTCACATGTCTCTAAGAGATATTCTCAATCATCCAAGTCATGGTTGTCCTAGAGGTGTTTTTCAAAAGGCAACTTGATTTTCTTGGGTTTTTTTACTTGAAAACATTTCACTTCTCAACCAAGAAGCTTCTTCAGTTCCCACATGTCATGAAAGGGTTAGGGTTCACAATACAATTGTTACTAGAGGAATAGGTTACCATTCATGGTGAATAATTGTTTTCCTCCATGAATTGCTATGGAAAAAAGATTATTTACTATTTCTGTTCATTATATATTTCATTTTTGAGCAGGCAGATAAAACAGGGATTAGGAGGTCTGCAACATTGTGGGGAGGCAGGACTGTGAAAACAGGATTAATTGTGATTGCTAAAGGCAGGGATGCCAGAATTCCTTAATGAGCAAAAAAATTGATTACCTTGTTCAATAATCAAAATGTAATGTCAAAAAATCCCCATTGTCCAGAATATTTCCTCTCCAATGCATCTGATTTATCTTTCTATATGAAATTTAAAGAGGAAACTTTTGCCAAAACAACTTTAGTCTTGAAAATAAAAATGCAAGAAGAGTAAGTATCTCATACTAGTTGCCTTTAATCTTCCAATCATAGGTATCTTAAATACTCTTTAACATCTATATGAAGCCGCTGGGTGAGATCATTAGTGGCTTCGGGGTGAGATATCATCAATATACTGATGATACCCAATTATATATCTCCACCCCAGACCACCCCAGAGATGCCTTTTCCGTGATGTCCCATTGCCTGGAGGTGGTGCGAGCCTGGATGGGTAGAAACAGACTCAGACTCAATCCCTCCAAGTTTGAGTGGCTGTGGATGCTGGCATCTCGGGTTTCAGAGAACCCATCACTTTTGGGTGGGGAAAAACTTGCTTGTTGATAGGGCTCGCAACTTGGGTGTCCTCCTGGATGCTCGGCTGTCCCTAGAAGACCACCTGACGGCCGTGACCAGGGGGGCCTTCACACAGGTTCGCCTGTTGCACCAGTTGTGCCCTTTCTTGGACCGAGATGACTGTCGCACTGTCACTCATGCCCTGGTTACTTCCCGCTTGGATTACTGCAATTTCCTCTACATGGGCCTGCCCCTGAGATGCACCCGGAGACTCCAGCTGATCCAGAATGCAGCCGCAAGGGGTGGTACGGGAACCCCTCGTTACTACCATATAACACTTCTCCTGTGTGAGCTGCACTGGTTACCAGTGGTTCTCTGGCTTCAAGGTGCTAGTTCTCACCTATAAGGTCCTACATGACTTAGGTCCGGGATATTTGCAGGACCTTCTCCTGCCTGCCTCCCACCATCCTGTTCGCTCACATAGGGCTGCTCTCCTCAGGGTTCCGACGGTGAGCCAATGTCGTCTGGCAGCGCCCAGGGGTAGGGTGTTCTCTTTGGGTGCCCTCCACCCTCTTGGAATGAGTTACCTACCGAGCTCCGGACGGCTCCTGATCTCCGCTCCTTCCGTCGGGACCTGAAGACTTGGTTGTTCAAAACAAATAGGCTGACTCTGATTCTGGGTTTTATTATTTATTAATTAATTTGGATTAAAATAGGATTTTGTTGTACACGTTTTTAACTTGTGTTCGCCGCCCTGAGTCCTTCTGGAGAAGGGCGGCATATAAATACATGAAATAAATAAATAAGGTGCACATACTTTGCATATCAGCCTTCTGATACCATGATTACCCCAACTCTAATAATCTGATACACTGCAAAAAATATCTGTTAGGCTAGAAATTATAATTGTTCCTCTTTTTGCTGTTCTTTCATGATATGATTTTGCTACAACAAAAAACATGGAATATTCATCTTCTATCAGACAGATAGTCCAACAGTAGGCAGATACTGTGGGACAAAGATTAGTGTCTCTAAATAAGTGAAGGAAGTTTTAAATCTCTCCAAGGCAATTAAAAAGTTTTGCATTCTAAGTAAGGGATTCTGGCAGGACAGTGAAGTTAATATTGCTGTAAATCATACTCCTTGGTTTGTAAGAATCTTCCTAATCCCAGGATCTTCTGAACTGTTTTGAAAAGTATCAGCAACCTTTCAGACTCAGACAATGGTTTTGGTGTCCTCTCATTTTTCTTATTTGGGAACCATAATTCCACAGCCAGCATGAAGAATATCCCTCCTTCCCTCCCTACCCTCCTTCCCCTCCCCCTCCCCCTCCCTTTCTCTCTGTATAATCTATCTATTACTAAAACTTTCATTCCCATAACCTTTAACTGGGTGCAGCAGAGCATTGTAAAACAACAACTTTTGAACCTAAGTATCTCAAATGGACTCAAGTTATAGAATGTGTTCAAAATCCAGGACCTTCAAATTCAAATTTGACAAACTTTATAAAACATTTTATGATCTAAAATTATTATAAACAGTTTATGAAATAATACAAGATGTGATAAAACATTTCCTGTGCTGATGTCTGTATCAACATGGGCTGTTTTCAGGGCAAATACATCCCACCTTTTTATTCAGATCCCATCTGAATGTATCCCACCTTTTGTAATGAAGACCATATTTTAAACTTCTGTTGTTTAAAATATTTGATTTTATAAGGAAACGTCTCTGAGAAGAGGCCGTCTAGTGTTGATTAAGAACAATGGGCATTGCAGAAAGAGATATCTGGAAAAGACTAATATTAAAAATATCAATTTGGACCTTTATCCAAGCCATTCTAATACCTCACTGCTGTATTTCTGAGGGGAGGGGAGTTACTTTCAGAATGTATATATACGTATATATATATATATACATAGCCTTTTTATTTCCATAGGGAAAAACAGAAAACCTTTTGCATGCTGTAGGTAAAAATCCAGTAGCTTCCACAAAGAATAAATGCAAATTAATTTTTATTTAAGCCATCCAATCTCTTTAAATAACTCCACATACACTTCAGGGACAGGTAGTTTAATTTCTATCATCTGTGACTTTATTAAGGTCTAGTTTTGCTACACATGTCAGTGATTGAGCTATGCTGGAAGTATTTGCAAAAGCTTGCAAGTGCTATGTTCATTCAGGAAACTCTGAATGAAGTAAATCCATATGTGCCTTAAAAGTCTTAGACTTCAGAGTGGGATTGCATATTCTGGCTTGTAACATTGTCATGAACGATTCTGACTGTTTAAAGTGTTACTGAAATCTGAACAAGCTTGATGTCTCAACTGAGTGTACTTGCATTTCAAAACTTTCTGCTTTTAAAAAGCCTATTGAGGTTAATTATTTCATGGTTATTTATAGTATTTATTATCTACTGTACCAAGCTACCATGTATATGTAATACTGATGAAGCTTCAAAAACCTCTCAGAGACAGAACAGAGATGTCAACAGATATATTTTCAGATAGTTACTGATGGCCAACAATTACTAACACTACTGTTTGAGGCATATGTGACACTGGAATTTCTTACAAAGTCCAGAGTTTATCAAGCAAGTTAAAACTTTATATTAAAGCAAGCCTTTCCTGAATCTGCAGTCCCTGCACCCAGTCGCTCAAGCCCTGGCCATCTCATGTTTGAACTACTGCAATATGCTTTATATGT